CAGTACAATCAAAACAAACTGTATGTGAAAAGTTGTGCTATTTGTGACTGTATGTCGAACTGCGTGCCTATGACAAAAAAAGTAACAAAATTCACATACCAACACTTCTTAAATTCACGTATAAACATGTTATATCTTGTTTGTTTAATCTGTACAAAAACCAAACAAAAAAGTTAAAAAATGACAATTTTCAATAATATTTCTTGGCTGGGGCCTTTTGCCAGGCTTAGGTAGGACTTGTTGTTCTGACCACAGCTGTAGATAAACTTTAAGTCAGTAAACTAAGCCAGTAATGTTGTGTTTACTCTGAAAATGGAGAACACTAGCGAGCAAAGAATGGAACGAAGCCATCCTGAGTGGACAATCGGACACCAAAGAATCTGAGAAGCAGTGTGCTTGTGTCAACTTTGTACAAAGCAGCTGTTTAACTCTACAACCACAAACAATCTGCAGACTTAGTTGCTAATGTTAGCTTGCCACCCAAGTGAGACAGTAAATTAGAGAGAGATCAGACGGACGGAGCAATATCAAGCGTACAAGAGAGAGAGCAAGACTTATATGGAAGGACATTGGTGTAAAAAAAAACAAATATCTTAACCTTTACTATGAAAGTTTGTCTGAAATATACCCCAAGCTGTGTCTACAGACATTGAGTGTGTGATTCCTTCCTTCTCTTCCTCCTCCACCTCTAACTCACCTGTACCATTGACAGGACAGGGATACACCTCACAGTTGTCACCCCAGCCGGCTCCCAGCGTGCAGCAGCACTCCTGAAGGGTGACATGGCTGGTCAGCACACTCTCACACAGGTTTTCATCGTTCAGACGATAGTAACACTCCTTACGCTCCACTGATGACACTGAAAATGAAGGAACAGATGGAGACAAGAATGAACACACAGCAGGGGATAAGGATCAGATGGTAAATAAAAAAGGACATGCAACCAGTTATACACCGTGATGTCTTTTTGTTCATTTGTACAAAAGCTGAAGGTGGCTCACCTGTGGGAACGGGCTCACACTTGGCAATCATGATGTTATAGTCCTGGCCACTGGGACATATGCAGAGGAAGGTACCATCAACGTTCACACACTGGGCTTCGCCACACACACTGCTCAGCAACTCACACTCATTAACATCTGTGAAGGAGGAACAGAAATATATGATGATAAATATTATGGTAAATGGTAAAAGGACCTGTACTTGTATAGCGCCTTTCTTCTACCACTCAAAGCAATTTTTTTACACTACGTGCCACATTCGCCCTTTCACACACATTCACTACACCAGTTAGCCTGGTCAAATTCAATCAAGACTATGATTGTGCATCAACAAGTATGCAAAGTGGGCAAGAAGTAGGCAAGTTCAGTAGCTATAAGTTTACTGGAGGAGCTATAAAAGGACAGTTGCAAACAGGGTGACAATAAACAATAATGCATATGAGACTTGTCTCCACATCCTGCTGTAAATTTGCCCCATATTCCGCCAGAAAGTCGCACACTTTTTTTATGCCCAGTGCAGTGCATGGCACAGAAGTGGGAGAGGAGTTTCCAAAGTTACTGGCATTTTGGCTTTTTACCCACACACATTTGGGCAGTGTTCATAGGCCAATACTATGTATACCTATCTGTTACATCAGATGTGAATGAAAAACATGTATGTCACAGCTGTAGAGGTCAGTAAATCAGTCTGTACAAATCTAATAAATTAATGGGGATTTTTACAGATGTTTTCCCAGCTGCTTTATGCTGTAATAAAGTCGCCCCCTTTTGCTATTTAAAACCCTGCAGCAATCAACTATGCTGTTGCTGAGCTCCTGTTGTTCTCACTATGCATGGGAATACAGGGGATCATTAATTCTGTCTGGTGTTATTATTATTATTGGTGACATGCTTTATAATGCTTCGAAAGATAATACATCTAATGTATCATATTAATAATGCAAGATGCAATCCATCACAATATGATGTGATATAGCAGAATTATGACTGAAATAGTGTAGGATATAAACAACTATAATGGTTATGATTATTGATTTCTTCTCTTAACATAAAAAAGTAATGTAAAAGCCACCATCTGGCTTTAGCTGCAGATTTATGTGTGGCAGTCAGACCAAAAGATAAAATTCATGAAAGAACGAATTAACATTGTTCATAAATTCTTGAGGTTTTGCTTAATCCATGACGAAATTATCAAAGTTTCTACACCCAAATGAAAACAGCTTCTGTTATAATCATCTTAGCTACATCTTGGGATCTGCAGTTAAATAAAGACATGCCAGATTTTTTTATGTTAGTGCAGTAGTTTCTAAGGAAAATAGCTGGACCAGCTTGGACTGAGGATGCTCCTGAGTCATGTTGATGGAGCAGGTCTCTTGACAAAATTGGACTCGATGATCAAACAATGGGAAATCAGAGACTGTTGTGCCCACATCTCTACAGAGACCTGCTCCATCAACATCCTAGATTACTGACGGGCACATGGTGTTCCGAGCCGACAGAGTGAATGACGAGGGGAGATGGACTTTGATAATGCTTTGTGTTCAATTGAGTCAAAGTGGATGGACACTGTTTCTTAAATGTTTAACTTTTTACGTAAAGATAAAACAATATCATTTCTTCCTGGGTATTTAGGTGTATCTACATAAATACTTGTATATACTGTTTTATTTTATTTCATTTTATATGTTATTCTACTATAAATGTATTTATTATTACTTTATTATTTATATTAGTATTTATATCACTATGTTGTGTAACATGAAGGGACTGCCACTTCATTTCATTGCAGACTTGCGAATCTAATGATAAATACATTTCTTTGGTCCTTGATCCTGAAGATAGATAGAAGAGAAATGGGGATAGATGATGGTGAAGATAAAATCTCAGAGGCAAGAAGGGGAAACCACAGGAAGAGAAGACAGGATACAGGGAGTAAGGAGAATGAAGCAGTGTAAAAGTAAGAAACAGGAGAGAGGAAACCAGAGAAAGTTGGCTGATAAATGTAGATGAATAGTTGGAGGGGAAGGAAGACAGAGAGACGACACACTCTGAATGGGTTAGTGGTACACCACCACTGTTGGTGGTTTTCAAGGATTGTGTGTGTGCGTGTGTGTGTGTACGTGAGTCCATCTGTGCTAGCCACAGTACAATGCTGGTTTGGCAGTAAAGAGGAGGAAGCTGGCTGGACTAAACTTGGGTGGGACCCAGCAGCACTGCCAAAGGACAGATGGGAAGTGTGTGTCATGGTGTATAAAGAACATACTGTATTGAGTGTTCTAGTACTGTATTTCATATGTGTGTGTGTTTTTGTGGGGTTGGTCACTGGGAGAGTGTGTGTGGGGGAAGTTTTCTATCAGGGTTCAGCAGGGGAAAGTCTGCTGTGACAATGCTCCCTGCTCGAGGAAATTGGACTAGATGGGAGCTGCAGGGGCCCCGTTAGCCTCGGAAACCACCAGCCCCTATCAGCTCACTGAATAACTGTGATATTTCTTATCTTATCATGGCACCTATATTAGGCAGCAAGTAAACATTTTGTCCTGAGGTTGATGTGTTAAACCAGGGTGCCCAGGTGATCATAATGTTATGGCTGATAAATAGCCTAGCTAACAAGGCAGGCAACCAAAAAGTGGCCCACTTACTCTCGATACGTTGGATGACCCTCAAGTTGCATGTCACAGTGGTTCCTCATAAGGCCTAAACCCAAACCCTGTGGTGGTAGCATACTTAATCCCCAACAGCATGTGTCCCTGCCTTACCTGTAGATGCAGCATTAAGCCCAACCCTGCAGGCAGTGCCAGCCGCACCCAAGAGGGCTAAACCTCATCAAAATGTCTGGAAAGCTCTTTTGGTATTACATATGTCCCCACTCTCCTAGATGCAGTTATGTAGCAACCTTCCACAATATTTTAAGGCATCAAACTTAGGTGTTTCCATCCAACAGGGAGATGCTGCTTCAATAATGCAAATTATCATCCCAAATTCAGAGGAGGAAACTTCTTTGGTGGCAGACATCGAATGTATTAGTGTTGTCGTATTTTGATACTGTTGCAGTTTAACAGATGTAGTGACCTATTTTATTGGTTTTCTGTCTTATTTGCAAAGAATTTCAGTAAGCTGGACCTTGATTGTAAACCTATGATTTGAAGTGTATGTGAAGTCTGATTATATTCATTTCACATGTAAATACACTATAAAACACTTACACATCTTAATATACATATACAAAACTCCAACACATACCCACACAGCCTTGACCATCCTGGGACTCCTGATAGCCTTGGTCACAGAGGCATTGGAAGGAGCCCAGTCTGTTCTCACAGAAGCCATGAGGGCCACACAGTGTCTCATTGAGCCCACACTCATCAATATCTGGAGAGCAAACAAACAAAGAAATGTCACATCATACTTTTTCCTTCAGTGATTTGCTCTATGCTTTCCTTTCTAACACTCGTTACAAGCCCCTGTAGTATCTGTTTCTCCAACATCTTATTTTTATTGTTTAGGAGTTCATTGTAAAACACTTTAAACTGCACTATTGTGTATGCACATCTGTTAAACAAATAAATGCTGATTGTTTGCAAATATAACCACTCATACACTCACACAACTTCTCCTGTCTGGGAGACAGGAGTCCTATCTGGGTCACTGGATTTAACTGAATACGGCAACTGGTGTTAAAATTTGCAAATAAAACATGTATTAACTGGTTTTATGAATATAGACAGAAAGACATGCACACACATACACAGACTCACACTTAAGTGTGATTCCCTGCATATATCATGGGGCAGAGAGCAACAAATATCCCTCCTTGTCTAGACAGCCAGCTCAAAGGCTTCCGTCTGTTTCTTTTCTTTCATTTTTTCCTTTCCTCTTTGTTTTTTTCTAAGGCAGGAAAGGCTAAGACTCCTGCCATGGTAGAGGAAATAGGAGCAGCATATACCTGAAAGAAATTCAAGACTTTTTTTTATATCCTTCTTATTTAAAAAGTCTTCTCCCGCACAGAGTAAGAAATTGACAAAGCCTAAACATGACTTGGGGTTCAGTAATACTTGGAAACAACTGGTTGGAACAACGCTTTGTCTGACCACGTCTGAAATCCAAAGTGTTTATACCTCGCCATACTGGAAGGTGGAGTGAAAAGTCGGCTGTCATAGAGAGGGGAGACGCAATAAGCGATTGGACTGAGTCACACAACACTAACCAACAATTCCAGCCAGGATTTGTGTGTCAGGTAACATTAGGTGCCCACAGACATTCGGCTTACTTTGTAGCTAGCTAAGGTATATGCTGATGTTGTGATGTCAGTTAGTTAGTTAGTTAGTAGCAGGATAGTTGTGAGTATTGCTGTCTGGAGCTGGTATGCTCCCTCTGGAAAATCGACTCGTCCTCTCTGCATGTTAGATGCGCAGCAGGAACTTTAGTGATAGTTTGCTAACCCACTACATATTACTTGCTGTGTCATTGTTCACTCTATATGATAGTATTTGTTATGGTATTTGAATCCTCCAGAATCACTTCCCCCCCCTTTAAAGGTAAGACTAACAATACTCTTATTTTTCTTACTGTCAAAAAACTCACAAATGCTCCAATATGATTTTTTAATAAAAACATACGTGTGTGAAAATGAAGAATAATGGTAGTCATATACATGAATGTTTCAAAGGCAAGTTCTATTGAATGAAAAAACTAAACTGTGTGTGTGTGTTTTCTTTGTATTTGCAGCTTACCATCACAGGAGGGTGTGTCAAGGTTGACAGTGAATCCACTCTCACACACACACAGATAGGATCCCTCTGTGTTGAGACACTCGCCATTTGGGTAACAAAGCTCTGGCTCATCCACACACTCATCAACATCTGCAAGGACAGAGACAGAAATCCACTGTGAGGCGTGTATGTATGTGTGTGTTCATCTATCCAAGCAGCACTACACACACTGTGTCACTGTAACATCCCAGATCCGAAACGTGCAGTAATGAGAGGATGTAACCCTGCTGCAGCGCTCACCTCTGCAGCTAGTGCCGTTGATCTGTCGATATCCCTTGGGGCAGGTACAGGTATAGGAGCCAATGTTGTTAACACACTCTCCGACAGCCTCACAGGACCTGGCTTCTTCTAAACACTCATCCACATCTGGAACATATACACATCAGTCCTGTGAGAGGAGTGCAAGTGGTACACTGATGACCACAAGTGTCATGGAAATGGTTATAAAGCAACCTAATAACCGATATGTGATTGAACAATAATAAGAAAAGCTAAAAGGAACCGCAGCGAGAAAATGGAAATGCTAATGGAAAAGTAATTACAGTTCTAAATGCCTGGTAAAAACCAGTACTCTTAATTCTAAACTTGTGAATGCAGTTATTTATTTCTCTCTTAAAACTGCTCTGCTCTAAATTGATTTTGAAATGGCAATATATTAATTATTTAGATATCTATTAACCTATTTTGAAATTATGCAGTTATTGTTTTATGTTGTTTTTTATTAATTCCTTTTTGACCTATTTATTGGTAAATGGATGGATCTTTACTTTCTAGTCGCTTTTACACACCAATGCACAGTATCGGGAGCAATTTTGGGGTTTAGTGTCTTGCTCAAGGATACTTTGACCTGCAGCGTGGGTAGCCGGGAATCGAACCACTAACCTTCCGATTAGTGAACGACCCACTCTACCTATGAGCCACAGCCGCCCCTCAAATAAGATAAATTCCCAAAGTTTTGAGCGGTAGTGTCTATGTATATGTGAATGTAATTTACTACGAAGAGTACTAAATTTCCCTTTTTGTTGATATTTATATCCAGCATATTAAACTCACAATAAAATAGACATCACATGATGGCAGATATCATTCAGATCCATCTTTTATATAAAAATTCTCATTGACATTGAAAAATGTCCCAGCAAAAGCAGTTTGCAGTGTGTGCCAAACATTATCAATTTGAATCATACATTTTGAGAATTTCTACCCTAGTTATATTAACTTAACCATTTGACCATGACTACCTTAACCATGTTTAAAAAGTATAAGTCTGTACATTACAAATCCTACAAATATATTTTGTATTGAAAACTTGCATTCAGGTGCTTCTTGGAAGCTGCTATATAAACAAAATCTCACCTGCAAGACATGTGAATTCTTGAATTAGAAATATTGTTCTTCAGCAGCTGCTGGATCACACAACAAACGACTGCACTATTCAGGTAACATTCAAGTGGCCCCTGCTTTCAAACTGCATTACCACACAATGACCATGCATGTTTTACAAAAAGATATTATAGGACTATCAGTCACATCATATCAATTTTTTTAACATTGCTGTCTCCTGAAGTGTTTTACATCCTGATTATTTTTTATCTTACTTTTTTAAATCTAAATGTATCCAATTTTTAATTAGGGCCCGAGCACTGACTGTGCGACCTACTGGGTTGGCCAGTAGGTGGCGCTACTATCAAAAGAGATTTAACAGAAATCATATTAAAATAAAAACAAATATAGACAAGTTCAAGGAACATTCAATCAAACATAGGAGATATATAACTCCTAGTACTCGATCCCATTACAAGTGCAACCCGATAAAAAAACTATCCCACCTGTTCTCTCACGTCACTCGCTTCAATATACTATAAAAAGCATACAAAATAAACCAAAATATAAGAAAACACAATAACAATAAGAAATATACCAAAACCCGAATCACAACCAATCAACATCCTGTATAATTGATAAATATCACGTGTATAACAAAATTAAATACGTACAGCCAGCAGTATGTTAAAATAGGAAGCATAACGGCCAGTATTTCAAGAAACACAGTCTCCAAAGCAACTATACTTACTGAGATACCAAAAAACATGAACCATTCACATCCTGTGAAGACAACCGAACCCAACACCTTCATGAATTGCCTTATCAGGTCTTTGCACACTTTACATTTGACAAATCAATCTTACTGGATGGAAGTACTCCACGTGATAGAATTTTGCCAAAAATAAAAATCACATTGACACCGCGACGACATGGAAATAGTTGTGGAATAATAACTTAAGAATCCATAACGACCAGATCAGCGATCAAACCGTGCACAACACACTGACTTACACGTGTGATCTGTTGTGTTGTGCAGTCAATGTGAGTCTTCACCTAAACCACATGGATATCCAGTCCCTTCGTACCGACTAACTAAAACACAGCTGCAGGTTGCACAACAAAATGTCACAACTGAGTTTTTCCAGGACCGAGAAACATGCACTGTACAAGGAGCTTAACGGGAGTACCAGACTAATAAATTAACATTCAAGATTGTGGACCTTATGTGAACAGCTAAACCATAAATCATTCAGAGTAAACAATAATCGTAAAGAGAACATCGGTTACCCACTGAAAGAATGGATTACCAGTTTACTTCACCTATTACACTGATTATATAATCTCCGATTTAACCTCGCGCACTAACCAGCATTTATTCGGGACAGTAGTCAAGAAAAGCATTAATAAAATCCGATACTAAGGATAAAAATCTGACATTCACATGAGAGAAAAACAACTCTAAGATATAATACCAAAAAATGTACATTCACAATAGTGCTTGAACTTACACTAAATGGCATCAACAATATCTGATGTGATCTTCATAGTATTTTTTCCTATACATAATAGACTTAGCTGGTGTTATTCATGTTTGCACGTATTCATTATTGATAGTTGGCTCTAAGTTGATTAAACATTAGTTGATCTTATGTGAATCCACAACACAAAATGTGGATTATTTACCATTACATTGTATTTTATCTATCATGCACATAACCCTCTTGTTTCTTTAATAGATGATCTCTAATAATGGCTATGTTTTGCAGCAAGCATTCAGCCAAGATGTGGTGAAGGAGAATAGCAGTTGCATACTTGAGCGTACGAAGGTTACGAACATAAAACAATTCGTTCTAATTTCTCACTTAACATTCTCAGTGGCTAACATCTTAAATTTCTCCAAAAATTCCTGGACATGCCATTCTTGACATCTCACTCCCATAGTTATATCAAATTGCCTCGTCTATACCACTACTAACTCAAGCCCATCATTTCGAAATGCCACCCCATACCTCACCGATGACACCTCATTTATTATATCAATACAACTGAATCTGCCGCATTCCTTATTTCAGTCACAACTATGCTTTGTATCAAACAATGAAGAGAGGAAGTGAGCACTTGTCCATTCCGTATTTGGTCCATCAGGAGAAGGCACGATGCTTCTTACACCAGTCCTTCCCAGCCACTTGAGCAAAAGCTCTGCCTACGACTGCAACTCGTGGGCAATGATGGGCCATCAAATCGAGACAAATGCCAAACCCTTCAACAGTGCACAAATAATATATACAGGGCTCCCAGGTCTCTCCTAATATAGCATGAACTTGCTATTTGATTCCACCTCTTAATTTAAATGAAGAACTAAAGGCAAGAAAGTCAATTATACTACCATCAATATGATCAATGAGATTACAATATAGAAAAAAACATGCCAAACACCGGATCTCAACAGGTCAAACAATTCGCAGCTATACAAATGACTAGCAGCTATATTATGATTGCCTCTGCAAAATTCTGTTAGTTGCGATGCCGAGCCACTAAGAGCTAACATGGGATAATGAGAGGTCAGACCACGCAGGTACTAGCAAGCTTCAGAATATGACAGTGTCTGTCATGCTGTCGCTTGGTCCTCCACCTTTGATCTAGACTGAAATGTTCAGCAGTTATTGGAGATGAATTGGGCCATAAAACTAAAATTAAAAATTTTACTAAAATAATTCTGAAATTTAAGAAACTATGTCAGCATTGTTACTAGATGGATTAGCACACATATTTGTTAGATATAAATTGTATCCTAAGGACATTTGGTGATCCCGTGACTTTTTATCTAGTTTCACACACAAGGTTGAGATATTTTGATTAAATAATTTATTTTAAACCTATTTGTGTATATTCAAACTTTAGTGCAAGACATTCATGTCACTTCAAAATGAATACTAATTCATGATTTTAATTTGGTCCAATACTTGGGCTTTTATAACCAAACACCATCGAGACCAATTACCCATGCAAAGGCGTCGCTGTACTTAGTTTTGTAGTAGCCAGATAGAAAATGTTTAGCATGCTAACACGATAAATAAGACCGAGAAAATGGGAAAAGTTACCATGTTTAAAACATCAAGGATGTTGGCCATTGTCATCGTCGAGAGTGATAGAGCACTGATGTTATTCAATTAGTCCAAAAGCAGCTGCCATCAGCACAGCCTCAACAGAGCATCACAGGATGACAGTGGAGCTCTAAGAAACTATAAGCTATCCCTGGAGTTACACCACAGCCATTCAGCAGTGTATTTTGATTTGAGATTAGTTCATTTCTGTGAAGAAACTTAATATGAAATCATGTTGTTAAATATCAGAATTATATAAAATGTTTTTTATGAAGAGATAAGTTACTTGTATAATTGTAATGTAAAGATCTGAAAAGGAATTAACCAAGTCGTTACATGTTGCATCGACATTTTTGAATAAGGCAACGGCCGCCGTTAATTGCAGACTCTCCAGAAAAACGTGATTATGCAATCCGCATAAATTCAAAATGCTAATCAGCCAAAGTCCCATATTTATGCGCGGGCCGCATTTTTTTCAAATACAGCGCAGCACTTATCGCCGCAATATATGCGGGGCCTTGCATGATTTGCATGAAATCCATGCATTTTCGTTGCAAACAATCGTCACATATAATCTTAGCAGAAAAGTTGGAAAAAATGTTATGCGTTTACTTCATCAAAAGCAGACCATTTTCCGCCATGTATAGCCATGGGACACAGTTATGAAGTTGACAGTAATATAGGGCGAACGTGAACATCATTGAATAAGAGCTAGCAACCCCCGCGATGAAAAACCTTACCACGTTGTAAGTTTTATTAGTAGTTGTAAAATTTAGCAGTTACAATAAGAGATTGCACTTATGTGCATTGAGCACGTTATTTTAACAGAAAATTTGTATAGGCTAACCTCTGTAAAACAAGGAAGCAACAGCATTTTAATTTTTTTTATATTTTTTATTCATTTTTACAGAAGTTGTAGCATATTTACTATATTTG